TGTTTCTGCTAAGCTAATTGAAGCTGAAGGAGCCCCTTTAGTTGGCATAGAAGCTCTTCAAGCAATGGTTCGGATACTTCGCATAGTTCAGGTGCTCTCTCAGTAGGTTAAATTTTCCTTTTGATGTTTATCCTTGATTTTGATTTACTTATTAACATTTTTAATCCTGCAGCCACTGTATAAAGGTTCATTGCAAAAGCTTCTCTTGAATTTATGTGCTCATAATGAAACCAGAACAGCGCTCGTAAAAATCTTGATGGACATGCTGATGCTTGATACAAGAAAGCCTGTCAGTTTTTCAAATGCAATTGAACCACCATACAGGCTTTATGGTTGCCAGAATAATGTTATGTATTCGCGTCCTCAACATTTTGATGGTAAGATATGATGCACACAACACGAGTTCTTAACCCTTAGTGATTCTATATGGCTTGTCATAAGAACATTTTCATTTTCTCTCTCCATTTTTTCCTTTTTGAGGAAAAAAATTCTCTTTTTGTAGGTGAATCTTTTACTTTCCTTTTATTCTTATGAGTGTAATATATGGAGGAATTTTTTGGTTTGTTCATTATTTGACTTTTAGCATTCAGGGTTCTAATTGGTTTCTTTATCTTATTTCCCTTTGTAGGAGTTCCTCCTTTGGTGTCTAGGCGAGTTCTTGAAACTCTCACTTACTTGGCTCGAAATCATCCATATGTTGCGAAGATCTTACTTCTGTTTAGATTGCCTCTTCCTATCCTACAAGGGCCAAGGAATATTGATCAGTCACGTGGAAAAGCTTTGATGACTGAGGAGCACCAGGAGGGATACATTTCCATTGCATTGCTTTTGAGCCTTCTCAATCAACCCCTCTACCTGAGAAGTATAGCACATCTTGAGCAGGTGATGAGTGATAACCCTATTCTAAATATGTTAAACAATTTTACATCTTTGCTTTAATTATGTGCTCATTTATGCTTTTTGCACCAGCTGCTTAACTTGTTGGATGTCATCATTGACCAAGCGGAAAGGAAGTCCCTTTCATCTGAGAAATCGAGGGCATCTTCCACTGAACAAATACCTGCTTTGCAAATTTCAATGTCTGATGCTGACATCAATGCTGAGAATCGTGATGCTTATTCTGGGGTTGCTGAATCATCTTTAAAGACTGCTGATTCGTCCACACCCTCAACATCTGGTGCAAGTAATGAGTGTGATGCGCAGAGTGTACTGACCAATCTCCCACAAACAGAGCTCCGACTTCTATGCTCATTGCTTGCAAGGGATGGGTAAGTTATATGTCTACACAATGTATTCTTTATGCCAGCTATTTTGTTGGAATTTATCTCTTGTGCTCTAATTGAAGAAAGGTCCATGTTTTCATTTTCTGTAACTTGTTTGCAACCAATGCCTACACCCACACCCCCAAAAAAATGACACTGGATTTTGCTGTTTACACCTCCTATCAAATAATTATTATCTTTTCGTTGTTAAATTCTAAATTTGATCTGGTGCCTTTTTTCCATTTGCTCTGGCTGATGTTTTGTTTCCTACCCAGTTTGTCAGATAATGCATATAATCTGGTGGCAGAGGTAATGAAAAAGCTGGTTGCTATTTCTCCAAGCCATTGTCATCTGTTTATTTCTGAGCTAGCCTGTGCTGTACAAAGTTTGATTAAATCTGCCATGAATGAGTTAAAAATGGTCGGTGAAGCAGTGAAAGCTCTACTCAGCACAACATCTTCTGATGGAGCTGCAATTTTAAGGGTCTTACAGGCACTAAGTTCACTCGTTACTTCAACAACTGAGAAAGAAAAGGATCTGCAGCTGCTTCCTGAAACAGAGTGTTCTTCTGCTCTTTCTCTGGTGTGGGACATCAATGCAGCCTTAGAACCTTTGTGGATAGAGTTGAGCACTTGCATAAGCAAAATAGAGAGCTATTCAGATTCTGCACCAGATTTGTTAGCTCCATCCAGGACTTTCACATCGAGACAATCTGGTGTAACACCACCCCTACCTGCAGGCACTCAAAACATCTTACCATATATAGAATCTTTCTTCGTGATGTGTGAGAAGTTACATCCTGCACAACCAGGTTCTGGTCATGATTTTGGCATGGGTGCACTTTCTGATGTTGAGTATACGAGCACATCTGCTGGCCAGCAGAAAACTGCTGGTCCTGTCTCAAAATGTGATGAAAAGCATGTTGCTTTTGTGAAATTCACTGAGAAGCATAGGAAGTTGTTAAATGCTTTTATCCGCCAGAATCCTGGGCTGCTTGAGAAGTCATTTTCACTCATGCTGAAAGTTCCCCGCTTTGTCGATTTTGATAATAAACGTGCCCACTTCAAGTCCAAAGTAAAGCATCAACATGATCATCATCACAGTCCTCTAAGAATATCGGTTAGAAGAGCTTACATACTGGAAGATTCATATAACCAACTACGGATGCGGTCAACTCAAGATTTGAAGGGGAGGTTGACTGTTCACTTCCAAGGAGAAGAAGGCATTGACGCTGGTGGGCTTACGAGGGAATGGTATCAGCTGTTGTCCAGGGTTATATTTGACAAAGGAGCATTGCTTTTCACTACAGTGGGCAATGAGTCAACATTCCAGCCTAACCCCAACTCAGTCTACCAAACTGAACATCTTTCATACTTCAAATTTGTTGGGCGAGTTGTGAGTACCTTCTCTAATTGTTCCTATTGGATTGACACGTTTGTTTTCCTTAACTTTTTGTTCACTTCCTAAATAAAATTTTCTAGGTTGGCAAAGCACTTTTTGACGGGCAACTTTTGGATGTTCACTTTACTCGATCTTTCTACAAGCATATCTTGGGGGTCAAAGTTACTTATCATGACATTGAAGCAATCGATCCTGATTACTTCAAAAATCTAAAGTGGATGCTTGAGGTCTGTCGTATGTCAATATTCTGTTTCTTTTCCTCTTTTTCTCTTAGGGGGAGAGAGGGAGCAATAGAGTTAGTTTGCTGGCAATTATCTTTCTTGGTTCATTAGAGATTATATTTTTGCAATCCTTTTTTTCCTTACTTCTTTATTTATTTGTTTTTTCCAGAATGATATTAGTGATGTACTAGACCTTACTTTTAGCATTGATGCTGATGAGGAGAAGCGGATATTGTATGAAAAGACACAGGTACTGATTTTCATTGATCCTTTCAGGAAGCCCTTTGTAGCGAACTCTTTTTCTTGGTTATAATTATGATCTACCAAATATGATGCAGGTGACTGACTATGAGCTGATTCCTGGTGGTCGGAACATTAAAGTCACGGAGGAGAATAAACACCAATATGTTGATTTAGTTGCTGAGCATCGTTTGACAACTGCTATTCGTCCTCAAATAAATGCATTTTTGGAAGGATTCAATGAATTAATTCCTAGGGAATTAATATCTATTTTTAATGACAAGGAGCTGGAGTTACTGATAAGTGGTCTTCCAGATATCGATTGTAAGTGTTGTAAACCAATTAATATAATGTTAATTACATGATAGAATGCTTTATTTTGCCACCATTTTCTGAATATGACCTGATCTATGATCTGTCTCCTAGTGGATGATATGAGGGCAAATACGGAGTACTCTGGATATAGTGCAGCATCACCTATTATTCAGTGGTTTTGGGAGGTTGTTCAAGGGTTCAGTAAGGAGGATAAAGCTCGGCTTCTACAGTTTGTGACAGGCACCTCAAAGGTAATTCAAGACCTGAAATTGTAGATAATACTACTTGTAATTTGACATTTCAAGTTGTTAACTGTAGTTCAACCCAAAGGTTAATTATTTAATGCTTGAATTAAAATTAAGGTAGGATAAGTGGGCTTTTAGTTCACTGTGAAATCATGAACCTGTTTATTTATTCGAGTATGTATAGATATAGCAGAGCATATTAGTTTATAAAAGAACTTTTGTTTCATCACCTGTCCCAATTGTTACTCTTTATTATATCACTACACTGGTGTATAAAATAACTTTTGTTTCATAACTGGTCTCAAATCCCGATTGTTGCTCTTTGTAATTTCACAGGTGCCTTTAGAAGGTTTTAGTGTGCTTCAAGGAATTTCAGGTTCACAGAAGTTTCAGATACACAAAGCATATGGCAGCCCTGACCACTTGCCTTCTGCTCATACCTGGTACTCCGTCCAGTCGCCTCTGATATTTGTCCAAAAATATTCTTTGTCTGAACAATATATTTGGTTAATTGTGCTACTTGATTTCCTGTTTTTTTTTTTTTTTCCTTTACTTACAATTTACTTTGTGCCACTTTAGACCTTTCCTTGTTAATAAGAAACATTTCCTTGTGATTAAATGCAGTTTCAATCAATTGGATCTACCCGAGTATCCATCGAAGGAACATCTGGAAGAGAGATTGCTGCTTGCAATTCATGAAGCCAATGAAGGGTTTGGATTCGGTTAAGATTTGAACCGGTAATCAGAGTCACCATGTAGATAAGATTTATATGCATCGAACTGGATTAGGATCTTGTTATTGTGGTTATAAGATCTGGGCTGACGTTGAATTGATACGTTTTATAATATAGTGTACAGTCACATATTGGCTATCGGAATGGCTCTGGCAGTTTTTAATTTGCCTCATTTTCGTTCATTTACCCTACTTCTTCTACTTTCTCTTTCAGATCTGCCGTTGTTATCGAAAAGAAAAACGAGAGGCTCACTAATGATAACACCACATTGTTAACTTGAGAGTCGAGACCCTCTTTCCATAGAGTCTTGCATGAAATTTGGTCATTTTATTACTTTAAATTGTACAGTAAGTCAATCAAGTAAGTTTACTACCTACTATATTTTGTTACGTTTTCTCTATTTTTCTTATTGGATTTGTAAAGTTAAACGAGTTTAATGGGTTTGGGCCATAGTCCAAGTAGGATTTAGAGTTTGGATCATCCTTCGAATCGTACGCCATGAAAAAAGAAAAGATCACTGCGACTCGACCCAAAAATAAAAAACGATACCAATAGGCAAAGGTTGCCTTTAACAAAATTGAGGTAAAATCGGCATGATTTAATCAACCAAAAATTGATAACAAAGGTAAATTTAGTAATTGAGAGAGAGAAAAAAAGAAGGAAAAAATAATGCTAAAATTAACTCCACTTCCCATTTGTTGTTCTCCCTATCTTATTATACCGTGATATCGGTTGATTTTGTCGATGGATTTTCAACTGTATTGAGTGGCTTTGTACTCCTTGTAATCCTAACTAGTGCTCTAGATGGGTCAATTTGCAGTCTCGTGAGATTAGAGGGCTGCAAATGCTCTTGCTTTACGGTCTGAAAAGGATCAGTGAATATGAAACATACCCTTTGATGTTTAAGCAGGTTTGTCTAGAAGATTTCTATAATTTGTGGACAAAATAACTGTAATTTACCATTATTTTTCTCTCCAACTCCATGATTGATCGCATTCATATTTAGTAGAAACATCCTTCCACTTTGCAGCCTGTTTTTCCAAGGCTTGATCTACATGAACGTTAGGCATGATCAGAACTCAGAACATTTCAGCTTTTTTTGGACAAGTCAGAAGATCTCTGTTTTCTAGCAAAGAGAGTGGATATTACATTTCATTCGTTCATATATATTTTTTTACTTTAGCAACCTCCACTCCCTCAATTGTCCTCTATCAAGACATTCAGCTAAACCCCTCCTTGGCTAAATACATAATTTGGAGACACCTACTAAAACCTCATGTTCCATTTTTTTTTGTTGGCAAAATTCTACAAAAAATGCTGTGAGCCTGAGAGAAATTTGATTCAAAAATCAACTTTTCTATTTGAGAATTTGTGATTTGCCATGTCATGAACCCCACCGATATACATATAGAGGGGTTAGCATTGGGTCAAAGATAACGCACATGACAAATTAAGCAAAATATACACTTCTAAAGAACTTGGCCCAACAGTTATTTACATGGTAAGAACTTCAAATGGAAGCCTTACTGCCTAGTGCCTACGGTTGAAATATTCAAAGTTGTCTTGGTTATTGATCACAAGTTGTCACAGGCACCCTGAAGCAGGCAGTCCTGTACTCATGTCACACCGTAAAAAGGTCCTCCTGGAGTTTAAAACCTATATTCCAAATGCATATCCAAACACAATCTGAGCGATTGTATGCAACACCACTAATCCCCCACCACAGTCATCTTATTTTCCCCTTCTTTTGGTTATAAAGTCAGAATCAGAAGTTAACGTCTAAAGTAAATCTTCCCTTGTGCATCATCCTTGATAATATTGCGAAGGCCATCAGGAAAGTCAACAGGCCACAAGACAAGATCACTTTCCCTAAGAACCATTTTTGAAAGATGATCAGCTGCTCTATTAGTTTCTCGCCATGAATGAGTAACCTGATAGTTCTCAAACTTAGTTAGAAGTTTCCAGATTTGCTTCAAACAGCGACTGCTCTTTGTACTATACGGTTGCTGTCGATTAATGGTTTTGACAACGCTCATTGAATCAGATTCAACCCATATTACTTTAATACCCAAACCTGAAGCAAGAACAAGACCCCTCCATATAGCCCATAGTTCAACCAAGAAAGTATCATCTTGAGGAGCTTTAGAGACAAAAGCACATAATGGATCACCCTTGTAATCACGAAACAAACCAGCAAAACCCGAATTTTCTGGATCTACAGAGCCATCAGTATTTAATTTTATGCATCCTTTCTCTGGCTTCTTCCATTTACACCATCTAATTGATCTGGTGACGGGACTTAGAAGGCCACTCCATCTCTCAATGTTCAGGTTTCTAAGAAAAACAACTCTCTCATCTTTCTTTGGCACTGAAGATAACTTACAAGTGTCCCTCAATGGCAGTTCATGTACTCTGAGTTCATCTTCCTTGGTCTTGTGCTTCTTCCCTCGGAGGTGTTCCTTTAAACAATTTTCACTTGAAGTACTTATCAGACAAAGTACACAGCTCCATTCCTTTTGAACCCTCTTTGGATGGGTTGACCAAGTACAATTCACCTCTGTATTGTCAGAACTGAGATCAAAATTTCCCTGGCACAGAGGAATGTGAATAGGAAAAGGAATTACATAAAAACTGATGACAACCAAATTTAATAAAAAATAAAGCAGACCTGCACTTACAAAGAAACTATTAAAACTCCTATGAATTAAAGAAGGAAGTCGATAGTGGGAAAAGAAATCTTAGCATCCTTCTACCTTTTCAGTAATTGTGAGCACGTTTTTATATATACCTTCCCTGGTTCACTTTACTGTGTTTTTAATCTACTGGTAACTTTCTTCGCTGATTATATTATTCTAAAATCATCAATGTGTAAACCTACCTGGCTAGTGATAAGTTTTTCCTTCTTGAAACTGTTTGTATCAGCATCATCAACAATGCCATTCTGTGCTTCCAATACAATGCCATTCTTTGGAAAGAACAGGATATTCCATATTTTCTCTATAAAATACGGTCTAATCCAATGCTTGAAGACATAAGAAGCGCCATCAAAGTAGGGTGTGACCAGTAATATGGTAGCAACACCCTTGGCATAGGGCCAGAAAGGAAACCTGCCATGATAAAGACAAAAACAAGCACAAAATTCACTGAGAAAATCCTAGTGAACACTGAGATTGGCATATGCGAACAGGCACACTAGAGGCAGGTCTCAAATCTTATTCCATCAAATTATATAAAAAGAAAAAATTTCCACGTTGAACTACAAAAACAAGCGAAATCACAACAAGATTAAACAATATAAACTATCAATTACAACTCTAGAATCCCAGAATTACCACTTCAAAACCTTCCCAAGCGTCAGCTCCGCCATTGTAATCAGAGCAAACAGAACCCAGTATTTAAGACATTTCTGATTTTTGAAGGAAGAATTAGTCTCCACCGTCCGAATTGAAACACACCTACAATTTAAGTAGGAAACAAAATAAAATCACCAAAACAAACACAGAAGCTAAGTCCCACAGTTTAGAATTCAAAACCCACATTCAGTATATCACATTTTATTGGGAAAAGTCCAGCCGATATCTACTTACAATGGATAAATTAAAGTGAATGAAGGCCTGCAGATCAAGGAAAACTCAAAAGAGTAAACGTTAACGACATTGATAAGCTCAAAAGAGAGCTTCAATCAGAAGCAATAACAAGATACGGAAGGTTTAAAGATGATCGATTGACAAAGAAAAAACGGAGAAAATGAAAATTATAACTGCATACCAACGGAGAACAGTGAAGACATTTGCAGAGAGCTCGAGAAAAGCTTCCCAAAAACCCATCTCTTCAACTTCTCCTTCGGATGTTCTCTTTCCTTTTCACCATTTTAAAGATTACAGCCCATGAAATTTCCTTTGACTAACATTTTTGAAGTGGGTTTCCCGATTTACGACGAGTAGAGTTCGGGAAGACCGAGAATCGATTATGGTCAAATCAAATTATCAAACTACAGGCAATAGTATTTTGGTAAGAATTAAAAAAAAAAAAAAAAACGTTCTCATGTTCGTTTCGTTGGTTAAGGGTATTTTGTTTCATTGAATGCTGGATAATTAGTTATCGCACGTGATTTAATGAATAATTAAAATCAACTTAGATATACATAAAAAATACAAAGTTGTTAAATAAAAAGAGGCTAGGACTGCAGCCTACAAATAGTAGAACAACTTTTGTCCAATATTAAATTTATTTTTTTATAAAAAAAAAAGTAATTAAGAATAAAAAAATTAAAATTATGGATATTTGAATATTAATATTAATTTTTTAAAATATTTAAATTAATTAAATTAAATTTTGAATTATAATTCATATTCTTGATATTCTCTGCAAATCAAAAGCTTTACCTATTGAACAGGGCAATTTCCTTAATACTTGAAGGCAAATATTGCTAATTGATATCTGGCTTAAGCTCATTGTTAGGATGGGTGATCCAAATGTTTTCACCAACTCTTACTTATAACACAAAGTCCTAATTATATAGATAGATGAAGAACAAAAGATGCACATGTAAAAAAAGAGTAAAAAAAGAGTTGACTTAAGACAAAAATTTTCAACTTAAGATTGCACGGGTGTTAGGCTTAAGTCTCAACTCAAGACACATACATCATCCAATGTTTTGGATTGATCACCACAAGCATCAGAGTTGGCAAGACTATTACATAGCAAGAGTAAGAGCATTTGGTTTTGATGATAGAAGAGCCAAAAAAAGGCATTAACAACACTGTAAGCTAAAGCAAATGCAATACCCCATTTCAAACCTACACATAGACAAAAGAAGAAAACTAGATAGTCTTTTCAATGTTAATAGCTTAAAAATAATTACTAATAATAACAAAAAATAGCTTGTATTGACTAACCATCTATAAATACGAAACGTCGCACAGATATTGGCAGAGGAGAAAAGTTGAACGAACATCAAACACTTTAGAAACAATATTTCAAACAAAATTCACCTCAAATACCTAAAAAAATTTAAATGAAATATTATAATTTTCCAATACAAAAAACTAATGGATCATAGAAAAATACAATCAATAACTAAAAGTAGATGATGATCGGTTGCCCGTATCAAGATAATACCAAACATAAACAGTCCATAATTTAAACATATAATTAAGATATTCTAGCCGGTGTTCAAGACTTGGCTATAGTTTAGGTAGCACCTTTGTAAAGAAGGCTGTGATTGTTATGAAAGGAGAATATTTGTGGGGAAAGATCTGTACTAGGGTTAAGGGTACTTTTAGAGGTTGAATGGTTTGGATTTTCTGGAGTTCTTGGAATGACATGTAATCAAGACAATGATCATCATCTAAATAGTTATCGTGTCTGAGTCTAAACTATTATCATCATATTGCTTGATAATAAATAATGATCTCTCAATTTGTTCATTATTAAGGGAGAAAACTAATTCAAGATCATTATTTGAAAGATCAATGCCAAAGATATTAGCAATATCCTGTATCATCTTTATAGATTTTTTATTTGACTTTAGGTAGTTTTTTGCAAAGTGTCCTAGTTTGCCATAAATAAAATATTTATTTCCTTTTTTCTTTGGGTCTCTTTTTTTTTTTTTTGCTAAACTTAAATTTTCGAAATCTTTTGGGCTTTTTTTTTAGCAATGAAAAATTTCTTATGTCCGAAAAAGTTTTTAGAAGGTTTAATCTTTTTGAAGTGTTTCTTTTTTTTTTTATTGTAAACACACAAGAAATTTTTGGAATAACATTTGATCTGTAGTCCTATGAAGGAGTAAAAACATAGTTTATCCATCTTTTTGGAGTTGTTCACCAAATTTGCAATTTATTTGTGTTCTTTGCAAATCTGATCAAATGCTCTTATCATTATCTTATAGATATTACCAAGATTCATTGTTCTCAAGTCAAGCAATATGATGATGCTAGCTAAGACTTAGACATAGATGACTACTCAAATGATGATCATTGTCTTGATTACATGTCATCCAAGAACTCTAGAAAATCTAAACTATTCAACCTTCAAAAGTACCCTTAACCCTAGTATAGATATTTTCTACAAACATTTTCCTCCCATAACAGATATAGCATTCTTTGACATAGATGCTACCCAAACCATAGCCAATTTAATTTTCTTAATCAAAACCCTTTGGAAAAAATAAAAACCCTTCTTCAAGATAACTTATGAGAATATATTCTCTACAGACTTTATCAATAACCCTTTTACCCTTCAAATATTTTCAGGTTATCAATAATCTAAAGAATTTTAAGATCTCCACTTTCATAAAAAGACCTAATTATTGGTTTTAATGTTATTACCAGTATACTAGATTTAAGACTCAGTGGAAAATGTATAAAGTTTGAAAGTTATTTTCAGCCTTGAAAAGGCCTTTTAAACCTCTTTACAACAAATTTGTTCCAATAATTCAATCAAAAGTTCACCAAATTTCATGTGGAAACAGTCATTCAGAATTTCTCTAGAAATGTAAAAACCCACTTTGGCAAAACCTTGAATTCTTCATTTCTTTTCTATTTAAGAAAGATGAGAATGCCAATCCCATAAAAGCTAGTTATTCCAGAATGAACTTAGATAATTTAATGCTAGAAATTGAAGAATGTTCATAGCTCCAAGGTTAAAGATTAATTGAACCAACCTCTTTTTCATAGCTGTGTGAAGCATTTTATGTTAACAAAAGATCAGAATATAATTAGAATTTTATATAAAGTTGGGCTTTGAAACCAAGTAGATGAGGATCGATTACCCGTATCAAGGTAATAGCAAATATAAGCAACATATAGTTCAAACATAGAACCAAGGTATTCTAGCCAGTGTTTAAGACTTAATGTCCTCCCAGCATATTGTTGAATTGATGGCCTGACTTTTATGAAGACATACCTTTCATTATTGTAGCCTACTTCAATATTCTTTGGTGCATTAACTTTTCTTTGTTTAAGTGAATCAATGGTCTATTTGATAATTTTACAACACTTTTCGATGTAAAGGATCTACAATACTATGACAAATACAGAATGTACTAACTTATATAATTGTAAACTATGATATAAAAAACTCTTTCTGATTATAATCCCAACAATTGAATAAAGAGTAAAGAATCACCTAAAGAGAGGAGTGGTTTTAAAAGAACATATTTATATTAGAGGAGATTTTCTTACAAATAACTTTTTGAGGAAGTTAGACTCTGATCCTTGTCGTAATAGTTTTGTGTCCATCTGACGAATTTGAAAATAAAATAAAAAAAAAATGGAGTCACCACCAATCTTTTTTGGCTAGATGTAATTGGCCACCTATTAAAACATATCCTTTTAATTAAATTTTAAAATTTATTAAAAGGATAATTTTAGGGTTTATGTAATAGTTTGGGTTCGGAGTCAGTTACGTGTGGGGAATGATTAATACCCCTATAATGCCTGTTTAAAACGGTACTAATTAACTATGTGTTATTCATTGATTTTAATATAAATAGTCTTATTTTTGGTGTTTGAAAAATAATTTTCTTGATTTTTTCATTTATTGGGAATTGGTTTTTATATTCAAATATTATTCGAGAAAAATAAATTAGAACCTTTTTATCAAAATAATTCTTAAAATGTTCCAGTACGTTGGTAACATTAGAAGAACTTTTTTTCACATAGAGATTTATTAGGCATCGCTTCTCAGAATACCTTAGAATCCTATTGTCGGATGTTCAAATTTACTTTTCATAAAAATTATGTCATGCATGCAATACAAATGTTAACATATTGATGCACACATTTTATTTTACTCTTTAAAAATTTTTATTAATTGTTTTATTAATCTTTTCATTTAAAACATTGAAGAAAATGAAAATTTTATTATATTGAAGATTTTTTATAAATATTTCAATACACTGGTAATATTTAAAAAAATCTTCTCACCTAGGAATTTCTTAAAGCATCTTTACTCAGAATACTTTTAGAATCCCATCATCGGATAAAATTTTCTTTTTTCTCATTTTTATTACTTATTCTTAATTAATTAATTAATTATTTTATTAAAGAAAAGAAAATTTTTTATTGTATTAAAAACTTTTTATAAATACTCAAATACACTGGTAATATTTAAAAAAAAATTTTCACTTAGAGATTTCGTAGGTATCACTATTCGGTGTACCTTTGAATCTCATCGTCGTATAAAAATGTCATTTTCTTACATTTTTTATTAATTTATACTATTTTTATTTAATTATACTTATCAAAAGCTTTTATTATAAATTTTATTATTTATTTTTATTAATAATTATTATAAAACAATAAAAATTTATTTTGTTAAATTTAAACATTTTTATATGCATAAATATTATAAAAATAATATATAAAAAATGTATTAAAACAAATTCAAAAAAAAAAAATTTTACCTGAATCGAAACGATCAATGGTTCGGTGAACACAGGTCCGATCGATTCGACAGCTAGGTCCAATCTGGTTGGTTCGACGGTTTGGGATCTGTTCGACTCGATTTGGGTTGGTTCAGATGTACCAGTTAAAAGTTGAGGAAAAATGGATTGTCGGGCCAATTGTAAGGACCCCGGGTAAGGTCGATTGGTTGACGCGCGGATCTTAGGTGCTTAAAACAGCATCGTTTTGGGCCTTTATTGAAACAACGTCGTTTTGGCTTTGACAGTTTTTATAAAGGTAAAAAAAAAAATTTTAGCTCATTTTTCTTCTCTCTTAAAAAAAAACTCTCTCATTCTTTCTTTTTTCGGTCGATTAGGGCCGGTGGCAGTTGATCGTGATGGCCACCGTGGTCCTTACCAACGACGAGCTTCAACCATCGTCACCAATGTTAAAAATTTTAAAATTCTTCAAAAAACTCATTGCGACCTCTTAAGTTCAAATCTGAGCTCAGTTTTACGAAAAAGGGCTCCAAATTACGCAGATCTGGCCTGAAATATTTGACTAAAATTTTATTTTTTTTATATTTTGACCTTTTTTTACTGACTTTGCTTTTTT